TGTCAGCGGTCCTCAATTCCCAGCAGCGTACGAAGACCTCTCCGGGTTGGCCCGGTCGCCAGAGGAAATTGCGGGCACCGCGTAGGTCGGCTACAACTCCACCACTTCCCAATTTTACTCTTGACAAGGACTATGCTAGCAGGGCGGCTGCGCTCTCCGACCTCATCGCTTCGGGTATATTTAATTTTGAGGAAGGACGACATGATATGCTGGCTGCCGCTAGTTCTGCCAATTGCGCTGCGTCTCAATTTGGTCGAAAACTGCGTATTGGATCGCTGTTTGGCCCCTTGCCATCCACATCGGCAGGGAATACCGCAATGGTGGAGCATGCCGCGGTCACATTTCGCGTGGAAACGAACTCAAGTTGCTCATCCGCGTCTTCCTCTTCTTGCCAGGCCTCCTCCAACATCTCCGAGTTCTTCCCTCGCGTAAGTCCGCTGCCTACTGGTCGCACCTTTTTGGGTTTCTGCTGCAAAAATCGCTGTAGAGCAGGTTTTTGAAATTATTACGGGGTTGCTTTCCTCAGTTCAAGAGGTTGCTTCGTGGACGACTAGACTGATTTTGGACATTGCTTGAAGTGCGAAATAGGAGATTGGAATAGTCACTTCTAGCTCATTAAACGTCATCAACCAGCCCTACCAAACCCCAGGTTCTGTAATCCCTAAGGGTTAAACCCACGATCCCCTGAGGTTAGGGTATAGTTGACTCATAAGAGCTACTGATCCAGAAATTTCTATCCTAGTTTTCCTTGTCTTTGTCCAAAATCATTCTGTATATTATATTAGTTGCTACGCGACTGCTTACAGCTGAATCCATACTGTGATTATTCGTGCCTTTTTCTACACTATAAATGCAGTGCCCAGCACTCCCACCTTATATTGGAAAACCAGAAGACTCTTTTGGCGGTCCTTATTTCACTCGGCAGTGCTTCAACTGTTAAAAAAATGGCCCGTCTGGAAGTAGTATAATTCACGCACTGGAGGGTACAGAGTGGAAAGGTTGCAAAATATGTTCAACCTCTGCGAATGCGAGCCGACGGAACAGTGGTTAAGATTGACGTTCTCTACAGACGTGATGGGTGGCAGGTTGTCGTCACTACCCTCCAAATGTTTATCACGATTTATTCTGAAAGGTTGATGAAAACCTCAAGTTGTGGTGCCATTATTTAAATTAATGCTGAAATTAAAGTACTGTTTCAGTTCTCAAATCCGAATTGCCGGCTACTGTTTGGACATATGACGCATTGAATCCATTCGAACCGCCTTTGCATTTGAGATGCTGTCTCTATGCTGGAGCCGAGAGGAAACTAGACATCAATTGCGGCCGCACACCGAAAGTCAACACCGGTGGCCTTCCCGCCTATGACCATCCTGTCACACAAATCGCATTAATTTGCTTGATGATGGGTTGCTGTTAACAGTTTTTTATATTCGCTCTGAGCTTTTTAATTTCACCGTCTCCTGTTTCTTTAAAATCAACTGAGAATGTCCCTTTACGCAGTGTTACAAACCTTATAGGTTCAAAATAGGTTGGAGGCTGCAAACGTCAGCGTCACCATAGCGTAGTCAGCATCGAGTGACGAGACCTTCTATATGCATGAAAAGTTATAGCATATCATAGCGGCTACTATCTACAAAACGCCGACTGTGAAAGTGAGCCAAAGGTAGGCCTTGTCGGACATTAATGGTTTAGACACTATTACCGCTTATGTTTTGATTATGTAAATAATTCTTCCCGTTATTTTCTTCTGTTATTTGCTCTACTCTCTTAACCTTTTCTTTCGCCTGATAAGCCCCACCCATAAAACCTCTATTACTACCGACCCCGTAAGGCAGAAACCTGGGGTTTTCTGTTACTTCGGTGTTCCTTATAAGGCATCGTCGTTATGTTTTGTTCCCTCCCCTCTACCTGAAACTAGATGCTCGTCCATGCTTTTGCAAGCCACAACCAGTTATTTCTTCCGGGTGCCTGATGAGCACCTAACTCCTATCCGAGATTATGAGAGATGTAGAAACAGGTAAATGAGGGTAGTCGAGCCAGTTTGTTGGCATTTATTTTCCATGGTTAATTTTGAATTCAGGTCCGCCGAATTATTCCAGCGAAAATACCATTACAGGAAACACAGAGAGAACTTCAAAGCCCTCAACGTGCAAGTGGCCTATCTCGGCTCCTTGCTCTTTTCAGTCTGCTTCTGTATTATTTTGAGTGCGGCCTTCAGTTCGCGATTGTGGGTGGTTTACGCTGTGTATTTCGTACCCGGCCTTGCTTTATAACTCGAAAGAAAACAGAATTCATGTAGTCTAGCTTATAAAACGGATTCAAATTTAAAGTATATATCTAAGGGATGACATTTTCCGTATCTTTATCTTCCGTAAAGGAAGAATGGCGTTCCTTTGAGACGTTCTACGGAGCCCTTAAGTCTTCATGTGTGCTTACACCTATACTATTAGGTACTAGGCTGCCTTGGGTGTAGGAAATTCTATTGTTAAATCTTTGTTATTTTTGGTATTTAGGAGACGGTAAACCCACCTCCAAGCCCGATAACAGAGTCAATCTACACTTCGCTGCCTCCGTCTATTCTTAAACAACCCGGTATCTCGCGGAAAGCCAGTATGTCAACATCATCGGGTTCCAGTGGACCACGGAACGATGGCTTTAGTTCACTCTCCTTTGAAACTCTGGGCAACGACAAAGATTCTGACCAACGAATTATTGCCACAGGTATGTGTTTACCCCCCCAACTCACATGAAAATTATAATCCTCCTTTTTTATGTTCAATGTCCTCGACTATAAGTCATTGGTTTTTGCCGAACACGAATGCTGTTAGCCGGAGAACTGTTGACAGCCACATCAAAATAATTTCCTGGCTGCCGAATTTTGACAAACACATTTCCTGATGAGCGAGCCGTAATGTGCATATATTTCAGTGAACCTGCTTTCGAAACGGACTTCCAGCTGCCAAAATGTACATGTTGTTTTGTGTTTTAATGTTAAGGGTCCGCGAATCAAACCCTTAT